ATGCCTGTGAGGGAACATTGGGAGACCACCTCCTGTATACCACCACACTGGGGATTTGGCCCACAACTCAGGCATGTGCCCTGACCCTGACCAGGAATCAAACCAGCGACCTCTTGGTGCATGGGTGGATGCTCAACCACTGAGCAACACTGTCCGGGCGCCACAATTGTTTAAAAAAATTTTTCCATCATTCTAAAATCATTGCTTCTGTGTAATTACAGTGAAACCTTTTTCCTATCCCCTGACACCAGTGTGATGAAGATTTTTTTCCCATTGAAATCTTTGTTGAAGATCAACTGACCATAAATATAAGGGTTTATTTCAGGATTCTTAACACACTCTTGATTACTGTAGGTTTATACTATATTTTGAAAATAGGAAGATAAGTCTTCCCAATTTGCTTATTTAAAAAATAATTTTGACCCTGACTGGTTTGGCTCAGCAGTTGGAGTGTTGGCCCAAAGACCAGAGAGTCAGAGGTTTGATTCCAGTCAAGGGCACGTACCTCAGTTGAGGTTCAGTCCCTGGCCCTGGTTGGGGTTGTGCGGGAGGCAACCAATTGATGTGCTTCTCTTGCATTATTGTTTCTCTCTCTCTCTCTTTCTCCCTCTCACTCTATCTGAAATAAATGGAAAAATATCCTCAGGTGAGGATTAAAAAAAAAAATTAAAACATCTGTTTATTTCCATATAAAGTTTAGGATCAGTTTTTTTGCAAAAACTGCTGAAATTTTGGTATTGATTGCCTTGAATTTATAGATCAATTTCCCATATATATATTTCCCATATATATACTATTTTTCCCATATATATATAAATATAATTTTTATCCTCACCAGAGGACATTTTTCCATTTTTTGTTCAGATAGAGTGGTAGAGTGGGAGGAAGAAAGAGAGAGAGAAACATCGACGTGAAAGGAACACATCATCGAGTGGCTGCCACCTGCACGACCCAACCAGGGCCGGGGACAAACTGCAACCAAAGTACGTGCCCTTAGCGGGAACCGAACCCTGGTCTCTCTGGGCCTCAGGCTGACGCTCTAACCGCTGAGCCAAACTGGCCAGGGCCAATTTCCCTAATATTTTATAGTGTTGTGGGTATGTCTTACACTTGTTTGGTTCAAATTGCTGAATATTTTATTTTCTTATTTATTTATTCTCCTTTTTAAACTTATCTTTATTGTTGAATGTATTATAGATGTCCCCCCCCCCTTGACACCCTCCTCTCCACTCCCACCACCCTCCTGCCTTCCCCACACTATTGTCTGTGTCTACATTGATTGTTTGCCTCCCGCACGACCCTGACCAGGCTGGAGACAAACCGCAACCAAGGCACAAGCCCTTGACTGGAATCGAACCCGCGAGTCTTCAGTCTATGGTCTGATACTCTAACCGCTGAGCCAAACCGGCCAGGGCTCTATATGTCTTTTGATTGGAGTATTTAATCTATTTCCAGTTAAAGTAATTATTGATAGATATGTAGTTATTGCTATTTTGTCATTCATACTATTTTTTAAAAATCCTCACCTGAGGATATATTTTCCCATTGATTTTCAGATAGAGTAGGAGAGAGGGAAGGAGGGAGAGAAAAAACATCAATGTGAGAGAGATACATCAACTGGTTGCCTCCCACACGACCTTGACCAGGGGCTGGGGATTGAACCATAACCAAAGTGTGTGCCCTTGATCAGAATCAAACCTACAACTCTCTGGTCTGCAGCCTGATGCTCTAATTGCTGAGCCAAACTGGCCAGGGCATATATCATTCATTCTTTTAATTTTTTTATTTTTCTTCTTCTTAAAGAAGACCCTTTAAAATATCATGTAATTGTGGTTTGATGGTGATGAACTCCCTTGGCTTTTTCTTTTCTGGGAAGCTCTTTATCTGCCCTTTGATTCTAAATGATACAGTTGCTGGGTAGAATAATCTTGGTTGTACGTCCTTGCTTTTCATCACTTTGAATATTTCTTGCCAATCCCTTCTGGCCTGCAAAATTTCTGTTGAGAAATCAGCTGATAGTCTTTTGGGAGTTTCCTTGTAGGTAACTAACTGCTTTTAATATTCTCACTTGTCTTTAACCTTTGGCATTTTAGTTATGATGTGTTTTGGTGTGGGCCTCTTTGGGTTCATCATGTTTGGGATTCTCTGCACTTCCTGGACTTGTGTGTCTGTTTTCTTCACCAGGTTAGTGTATTTTTCTGTCATTTTTCTTTTTGTAAATTTTATTTTTTTATTGTTGAAGTATTACAGATGTCCTACTGTCCCTCCTTTTTTCCCATTGACCCCCCTCCTTCCCGCTCCCACCCGCCTCCTGCCTTTCCCAGTCTTTGTGTCAATTGGTTATGCATATATGCATATTGTCATTATTTTTTCAAATAGGTTTTCAACTTCTTGCTCTCTTTACCTTTTGGCACCCCCATTATGTGAATTTTGGTATGCTTGGAGTTGTCCCAGAGGATCCTTACACTATCCTCTTTTTTTTGGGAATCTTCCTTCTTTTTACTGTTCTAATTGGTTGTTTCTGGTATCTTATCTTCTAAATTGCTGATTTGATTCTCTGCTTCATCTGCTCTACTATTGATTCCCTGCATTTATTTATTTAATTGAATTTATTGGGGTAACATTGGTTAATAAAATTATATAGATTTCAGGCCCTGTAGTTTATTCATTTCTGTTAGTGTATTCTTCATTTCTGACTGGTTCTTTATTTTATAGTTTCCGTGTCAGGTTTTTTTATTTAATTAAAAAGAGATAGAAACGTCAATGAGAGAAACATTAATTAGCCACCTCTTGCATGCACCCACTGGGGATTGGGCCCACAACCGGGGCATGTGCCCTGACCAGGAATTGAACCGATGACCTCTTGGTACATGAGTTAACACTCAACCACTGAGCCACACAAGCTGGGCTCCATGCTCTTTTTTATGCTGCTGAAGTTCTCACTAAATTCCTGGAACATCCTTATAACTATTGTTTTGAACTCTGTATCTGATAGTTTGCTTGCCTCCATTTAATTTAGTTCTTTTTCGGGAGTTTTCTCCTGTTCTTTCATTTGGGAACTATTTCTTTGTCTCCCCACTTTGGCTGATTCCTTGCTTTGTTTCTATATATTAGGTAGAGATGCTGTCTCATATACTTGGTAGAGTGGCCTTATGTAGTAGGTATCCTATAGGGTCCAGTTGCACAGCCTCCCTGGTCACCAGACCTGGGTGCTCAAGGTGTAACCCCTATGTGGGCTGTGTGCACTGTCCTGTTGTAGTTGAGCCTTGGTTGTTGTTGGCACATCACTGGGAGGGTTTGATCCTCAGGCCAGTCTGCTGCATGGATCGGCTGTGACTATAGAGCTGGTGTGCAGGGGCTTACCCCAGAGCAGGACTCACTTTAGTGGAGCCTCTGGTGCTTGCCAAGTTCCCCTCTTGGGTAGGTGGTTGGGTTGTAATCCAGTGTGGTCTGAAGCTGTCCAGTGGGTGTACTGGCTGTGGGGCCTTCTGGGAAGTGCAAGGCTAGCCACTGCCTTCACCTTGCACAGGGCCATCTGGCATGAGGTACAGAGCAATCTGCAGATGGCTGCTATTTGTACCGGTCTTGGAGGTGCCCAGGAGAGGGCAAGTTGCAAACTGAGGTTGGCTGCCGCTGGTGCCAGTCCTGAGGCCACTTAGCAAGAGTAAGGGGTAAGCTGAAGCCAGATGCTGCTTGTTTGAGAGATTTCAGGAAAAAGTCCAAGGCTTGAGGCAAGAGGCCATTTGTGTGGAGAAACCACTGTCACGTGGGTAGGTCCACAAGTTGGGTGGGGTGAGGGTCACAGGGACTCACCAGGGATGGGTGGACAGTGTTATTAACAGGTTGGTGGAGACTCAGATATGGTGCCTGCCTGCTGGTTCTGTTGGGGGAGGGCTCAGCAAAGTAACAATGGCCTTCTGTCTGGGAGAAAGCTGCCCCTCCAGCCCTCATCCAGAAGCCAGACAATTCAGGTCCACCTTTTATGTCCCTGGCACCTTTTGAGCTCCTGCCTCAGTAATGGAGCTCAGAGTGTGAGTATAAGTCTGAGCCTCCAGCTCATTCAGCCACAATTCCTGGTGGTTTTCATAGCCAGAAGTTATGGGGATGTCTCTTCCTGGCAATGGAACTCGGGGTTGGGAACCTCCACATACAAGATTCCTCCCAAGTTTTAACCACCGCACGTGTATGGGGGGCCAGGCTGTTCTGTTTCTGCCTCTTCCAATTTTGATGTGGCTTCTTCTGCATATCCATATTAGGACTCTGTTTAGCTGTATTTCAGGCATTGTGAATGATGGTAGTTCTGAATGATGTGGTTGTGGGAGGTTTTGAGTACCATGTTTCAGGGTTTATTACTTTTTTTTTTCCCCCCTCACCCGAGGACATTTTTCCATTTTTTGTTCAGATAGAGTGGGAGGGAGGGAGGGGGAGACAGAGAGAGAGCAAGAGAGAGAGAGAGAGAGAGAGAGAGACATCGACGTGAAAGGGACACATTGAGTGGCTGCCACACGCATGACCAACCAGGGCCAGGGACAAACTGCAACCGAGGTATGTGCCCTTACCAGGAACCGAACCCGGGTCTCTCTGGACCGCAGGCCGATGCTCTAACCGCTGAGCAAAACCGGCCAGGGCTATTACTTAATTCTTTCAGGAACCTGTACAAAGGGGCTGTACTGTACAGAGCTGCCAGTTTCAGGTAGACTTTAAGTAAGGTTCTCAGGGGCCACTGATAAAAGTGTAAACAGGAAGTGAATGTAAGTGTCTGGGAGGGAGAAATTAAGCTGTTAATCTCAACTCCTAAATTGAATAAGGCCTGGAAAACAGTACTACTGGAATTTTTAGTCTCTTTGGATACCCAACAAGCAGAATGCCAGAGAAATTCAATTTGGCCAATCTGAAGACTCTTCCCATCTTATAGATCTAATACAACAACACTTTAAGAAAGATAATTTAATTTTTAAGGAAAAGATCCATGATTGATTAAAATGTGAAAACCACATATAATGAACTGATACTAGCTTCAGGAACAAAAGGATATCTTATTGTCATTATAATCACTTTACAAGGAACACATTTCAATGAAAGGTGGGAGCTGACTGCAGTCCAGCCCAGTCCCATGAGCTCTTCATGTGTACTGTGGGAGTCCCCCATCTGATTGGGTCAGTCTAGTAACATCCATTGTCTTCCATGTATGTTCTGACTGCAGCTTAGAGGTAGGCACAGAGCCGTTCCAGCTGCCCAGGATTCGCATTACTTAGGAATAGCAGCTCCTTTTTCCCTTCTTCTGTATGAGCTAAAATGAAGTCAAACACAGATAATTTGCAGTTTTCTCTTGCAGTATTATGTTACACCCAGAAAATTCTGTATTTAGAGGCTACATTATCCAGATTCTATTCTGATGTAACTAGCACTTCCAAAAGACCTCACTTCTAGATCCTTTGTCCTAATAAACGATTATATTTTCTATGCATAATTTCCTTTTCTGTCTCTATTCTTCCAATTCAGCATCTCTCTCTCGTTCTGTTCCAAGAATATCTTCTGGACTTTAGGACTTTGTCAAATCTTCCAACCCCATCAGAAATCTCTCCATTGTGCTTTCCAACCCATCATGCTATAACTGCTTAACATTCTTTCCTTTAATAATCTCTTCTAATTATAACTAATTCTCTATTATCTAGTGATAGAACAGCCTTTCCTTTTCCTCTATATCATTCTACTCCTTTCCCTTCCTAAGCTGAGGGCAAGGGTAAAAAGAACAGCTGGAGCCCTGGCCGGTTTGGCTCAGCAGTTGGAGCGTCAGCCTGCGGACCAGAGAGTCCAGGGTTTGGTTCCCACTAGGGGCACATACCCCCCAAAAAAAGAACAGCTGGGCCCTGGCCGGTTTGGCTCAGCGGTTAGAGCATCAGCCTGCGGTCCTGAGAGACCCGGGTTCGGTTCCCGCTAAGGGCACGTACCTCGGTTGCAGTTTGTCCCTGGCCCTGGTCGGTTGTGCGGGTGGCAGCCACTCAATGTGTTCCTTTCGCATCAATGTTTCTCTCTCTCTCTGTGTTCCTCTCTCTCCCTCCCACTCTACCTGAACAAAAAATGGAAAAATGTCCTCGGGTGAGGATAAAAAAAAAAAAAAAAAGAACAGCTGGAATGCTTTCATGTACACAGACTAGGACAGACACAGCAAGGATTTGGTTTGCTGTGGGGGTGGCCTTTTAAACACTAGCAAATATTCTGTGGGTGTCCTAGCTTAAGAGTAAGTCAAAGTTTGTTGAATGACGAATAAATGCAACAATGAACAAAAAAAAATTAAAAAACAAAAAGAAAGAAAATACAACAATAAGACTATGGCAGCAACCCAAACCAAGTGACTGGGCTTGGTTTGGTCTCCTCTCTTAGCATGTGCATCTTATTTTAGACACTATGAGATCTTAGGGAGAAATACAATGTCTTTTGTAAATTAACCTTATATCTCTGACCCTCACACCTTATCATCTGATCAGCCAGAAAAAAGTCAAGATAAAAGGAAAAAAATTGAAATATAAATTATAGCCTGCTGCTGAAGGAAGATGAGGTCAAGGCTCTGTCAGTGGGACTCTTGCTGAGAACATAAAGCCCTTATAGGAAAAAATTAAACAACTAACCTTTCTCATGTTGAAGCCAATTGTTTTCCAAATAATACTTAATACAACTTTCAAATTCTTTTGGGTTATAGTTAGGAACCAGGATAGGAATAAAGGGGTCCAGGGCATCAAATCCTTCCTGGAGAAGAAAAAGGATAAAAATACAGTAACTCTTAAGTGACAAATAAGCAGGAAAAAAAAGACAAATCAGCACGGAGATCAATTTTATTTAAACACTTTGAAGATAAGGTCTTTAATTTTCTTCTACTCTACTACCTATTCTCTGGCTAGCCTGCCTTTTCTCTTAAAGAAAGCACATTACAGTTTCATTTTGGCATATCTGAATTGATAGAATCACTGTTCTTGTGCTTTAGAGCCATTAAGTAAAACAAAGGTTACTTAAATACAATTTCTGCAATACTGTGGCAGCAGATAATAACTGTGACAGCTACTAAGTGACTAAAGGCAGGGAGCATATACAGTGTAGATATTCTAGACAAAGGAATGACTCATGTCCTGGGCAGGATGGAGTGTATAGTTTTATCACGCTACTCAGTATGGTGTGCAATTTAAAACTTATGAGTTATTTCTGGAATTTTTCATTTAATATTTTCACACCACAGTTGACCATGGGTAACTGAAATTGCGGATAGCAAACCACATGTAAGAGGGGGACTACTGTATCTCAGATTTCAAACATAACACTGAGGGGTAAGGGAAACTAACCCAAGTTATCTTCTTTTTAAAAAATCTATTTTATTTTGACATTCAATATTATTTTATATTAGTTTTAGGTGTATACCAAGTTAACTTCTCAACAGAGTATCGGGACTAAAGATCCTTAGGCTAAAGACAAAAACTACATAAATATTGCACTCTAGTTCATAGCTTATTTTTTATACATCCAAGGGTTAGCAATTCTGAAACTACTTTTACTGTAATCTAAGACTGAGCTAATTATTGAATATACTGTGGATAATAACAGCAGATTTCTTATTGTTGGAGATCAGGGTTACAAATAAGGAAAGGGGAGGGATATTGTGAATGTTGTGACACTTTCCTGAAATTACAACTATCAGTATGAACTCATAGTTTGTTTATTTTATTTTTTGTGGGTTCTTTTTTTTTCCCTCTTGCCTTTCTTTTATTTTTTGATTTGAACTCATGGATTTTTTTTTAACACAGAGAAACAGATATAGCTGTGTGTGCATAAACACATATGCATATAGTACATATACATCCAGATATTACATATACCTATTTACCAACTCTGCTGGAGGGCCTAAAAGTGACACCTTAGTAGCAATAAGTACACCTAACACTCACTTTTGGTTTCTAAATACCATTCTCCTCTAAAGCAAATTAAACTGATTTTAGGACTAGGGCACAGAAAATACACGATGAGCCTGAAACATATTCTTGTACCAAAAAAAAAAGTAAAGAAGTAGATAAAGAATGATGGATACATGTTAAAAGGATATAGAAGCCAGCTTAAAGGAGCTCCTACTGGCAAAATCTGGGATAATTTAAGCACCAAAATGAACAACAACAGTCAATGTTAAGAATCCACATGTCTGTGTCGACCCGTGCACCAAGAGGTCGCCGGTTCGATTCCTGGTCAGGGGACATGCCCAGGTTGTGGGCCGAATCTCCAGTACGGGGCATGTAGGAGGTAGCCTATCGATGTTCTCTCTCATCGATGTTTCTATCTCTCTCACCTTCTCCTTTCTTCTCTCTCTAAAAATCAATTAAAAAAAAAGGGAAAAAAAAAGGAATCCACATGTCTGCACTGAAACAAACACATAAAGGAGAAAGTAAAGTTCTTACATATAATAGACTGCCAACTGATACATTTAGAGGAAATGTAGGAACTAGAAAATACCTATTTTGTAATTATCATAACTGATTTAGGACGAACCATCAATGGATACTAATACTAGTAAGGAGAAATTTGAGGAATAACAGGGTATTTACCTAGTATCAAATATATACACAAGGTACTTATTCATTATAAAAATAAAATAGTAACTTTACTGAGGATACCTCCTTAACTAAGTGTTGAAAGTTAACATTTCCAGTAGGAGGAGAAATAGGTTTCATGTGCCTCCAATATTATGCACTAAAAACACACATCACTTCTAATATCATATATAATCAGAAGAAAACATCAGACAACCTAAGAAAATAACCCATAAGACAACTGGTATATATTCTTCAAAAATAAAAATATAAACATTAAGATTATACAAGACAAAGACTGAGGAACTGTCCCAGATTAAAGGAGATTAAGACATGACAACTGGAGTTTTGGGGGTGGGGTGGGGGAGGGTATAAAAAAAAAAAAGACATGACAATTGAATGCAACACACTGTCCAGGGATTTTTCTGTAAAGAATATTGGGATAGCCCTGGCCGGTTTGGCTCAGTGGTTGGAGCGTTGGCCTGCGGACCAGAGAGTCCTGGGTTCAGTTCCTGCTAGGGGCAGGTACCAAAAAAAAAAAAAAGAAAAAGAATATTGGGATAACTGGCAAAATCAGAATAAGTTCTATAGGTTAGGTAACAGTATTACATTGACATCAACTTCCTGATTTTGATAACTGTGCATTGGTTACATATTAGGATATATTTGGTTTTTGGAAGTACACATGATTTTCAGATAGAGGCATTGTGTCTCAGGTTACTGTCACATTCAGAAAAAAACAAATGGAAAGAGAGAGGGGCAGAGGGAGAATAATAAATCAAGTATGGTAAAGTGTTAACATTTTAGGATTCGGGGTGAAGTTATACAAGAATATAATTTTTTTCCAAGTCTGAAATTATGTAAAAAACAAAACAAAACCCAGAAACAGCCCAAATGTCCATCAGTAGATGAATGGATAAAAAAGCTGTGGTACAGCCCTGGCCGGTTTGGCTCAGCGGTTAGAGCATTGGCCTGTGGTCCAGAGAGACCCGAGTTCGGTTCCTGCTAAGGGCGTGTACCTGGGTTGCAGTTTGTCCCTGGCCCTGGTTGGTCGTGTGGGTGGCAGCCACTTGATGTGTCCCTTTCACGTTGATGTTTCTCTCTCTCTCTCTCCCTCCCACTCTATCTGAACAAAAAATGAAAGAATGTCCTTGGGTGAGAATAAAAAATTTAAAAAAAGCTGTGGTACATATACACAATGGAGTACTATGCAGCTATAAGAAAGAGCTCTTATCCTTTGAGACCTCATGGAGGGACCTGGAAAGTATTATCCTAAGCGAAATAAGCCAAGCAGGAAAGACAAGTATCATATAATGTTCCTTATTTGTGGAATATAATCAACATAACAGCCTGAAGAATAGGGTAGTCCCAGAGATGTGAAAGTAGGGTACAGACTGACAATCTAACAAAAATGAAAAAAAAAAAGAGCAAGGAGGGGGGCAACCCCCCAAAAACAAAACAAGATGTTTTTAGACAGAATGACTATCTAAGGGAAAACAAATTTTCCAATGATTTGACCTTTCCCAGCAGTTCCTGGGGCAGATAGGCATTACGGGATTTAAAAAGAGACCCCGTCTGGCTCAAAGTCAACACAATGGCGCCTCCACTCTGAAACAAAAGAGGAAAAGCCAAATTAGAGAAACTAAAAAGGACAGAAGATATAAAAACACTTTGAACAATTATAAGCAAATTAATTATACCAATATTTAAATAAAAGGGTTTTGAATAAGCTTACTCCAGTTAAGTGGAAAGATTAGAAAGCAAGTACATAAATTTTAAACTTGGTACAGTTATAGGAATTAAATAAGATATAAGATCTCTCTGTTCATAAAATTAGAGACTGGAAAGTACTAGCAATGAAGTAGTTGAAGATCTTTAAAATGAAAATACATTTCTTTCTGAAATGTGTTAGGTATCATATGCACTTACCCAATCATTGTTCACCATTTTCCTCAGGTTGTAAATAAGTGCTAGTTCCTGTGGGGCAATCTGCACATTGGTAAATGTGGGAGAGGGGAAGAGAGGGAATAGGAGCAGAAAGAAGAGGCCGTTACTTGCTCTGCCTGGATGCTTCCCTTAAGACAACTGAACTGACAACTAAAAAACCCTTAACTGCTATGTAACCACAGTACCTGAAGGTATAGCCTCTGAGATAACCTACATAGCTGTTGGCCCTAAAACTACCATGCTTCTGGAGGTTAAAAAGTCCCAAGGGGAACCCTGGCTGGTGTTTCTCAGTGGTTAGAGCATCAGCCTACGCACCAAAGGGTCACAGATTCAATTCCTGGTCAAAGGGATGTGACTGGGTTGCAGGTTTGATCCCTGGCCCTAGTCGGCGAGTATTTGGGGAGGCAACCAATTGATGTTTCTCTCTCCTCCCTCCCTCCTACACTCTCTAAAAAGCAATGAAAAAAACATCCTCTGGTGAGGATTAACAAACAAATGAATACCCCAAGGGAGAAAATACCCACTGCCCCAAACCACCTTTTTCCTCGATGCTTCTGATCTTCTGTTTTTAGACCACAGAGCCTCATTTTGGAAAGAGAATAGAAAGAAAAAATTGACCAAGAAAGAAAATGTAGTTTCTGCTGTCATGTTCTTTTCAAAATACTCTTCCTTAGTTTTCAATGGATAGAACTTGGTATTACCTTTAAAAAAAACACTGATTTTAGAGAGAGGGAGAGAGAGACAGAGAGAGAAACATCCATCAGCTGCCTCCTCTGCGCACCCCAACAGAGATCAAACCTGAAACCCAGGTATGTTCCCTGACCCGGAACCCAACTTGTCACCTTTTGGTGTATAGGACAATGCTCCAACCAACTGAGCCACACCAGCCAGGGCTGTATCACCTCCTTTTGATGCTATTTTCACTATACATCTTAATTCGAATACTCATAGGGCAAGAAAATACATTGTATGTCTACTATGCCCCAGCCTATGTATAATATGACACCAGAACTCAGAGAAACCAGAACAGAGAAACTCAGTTTTCCTACTGGGCTTTTATCTTCTCTTTTCAGCGTGGTCCTTCCCCAGAGAGCATTGACTCCATCTACTGCCACCAGGAGGTGAAAAGTACCCAAAGAACTTTGCCTCTTTAGCTCTTTGAGCACAATCCCAACTGCATCTGTGGCGTTCCTCACCCGTGTTATACCCTGTAGCAAAAGGGAGACAATGGCTTACAGTCCTATTTATAAGAGGCCTTCTCTGGTTATGGCACAGTACACCATGTCTTTTTTTATACCTGTTCAACTACTTCTCCCAGACAACTGCCTTTCTCAGAGCTTTCTCGCTTATTCCAGACATATTTCTCTTGAGTTTTTATCTAAAACCAAAGAAAAGGTTTTGTTGTTAGGATCAGTTTAAATCTATTTCGCAAACCCTATAAGAGATCTCAGTATGGAAGTGAATGCTCTTTAGCCTATTTCTGCTTCGGGCTTAAACACGCACACACGATTCTGAATAAAAATGTCCAGAATAAGGCCTTGGCACCTACATTTTTAATAAGCTTCTAGATGATTCTAAATATCTCGAGTTGAAAACCCCTGGCCTAGAGGTCATATTCAAGAATTACTAAAAAATAATTTTATCAATACATTTTTGGTTCCAAAAATAATCTTAGCTGGAGAAAATTATATACTTGAAAATGTGCCTTAGAGGATTTGAGGCTATGACCTTGGAAAAATCAATGAATTAATCTGGACTTCACTTTGCTACCCACAGATGGGAACAGCCTACTGCTGCCCCTACTTCACATAGATAAATAAGTTTCAGACTATGAGTTCACTGTGAGTAAAATACAGTATATGCAAGAAACAGAAAATAGTATCGTTATCTCAACCATGATACTAGTTCTCCACAGTCTATTAGTACTTGGGGCACAACAAAGATTAAATCTATTTAAAGAATGTCCAGCACCAAGTTTCTGGGAGTCTGGTCACCTGACTCAAGAAACGCTCATTTGTAGTTTTAAAATTCTTCAGCCACATCGAAGCCTCTAAAGGTTGATCAAAGCGCTGTTTGTTGTACGTGGACTGCAGAAGATCCCGGCAGTTTTTCACCCAAAGATGAGCTAAAAGAGAAAAGGGCACAGAAAACAAACTAGGCAGGAACTGACTGTATTCAACTCAAAATACTCTAGGACTCTTTAAGTTGTGGGAAATGACTTTGGTCTTCCATATATATATTTTAAAAAAAAAGATTTCAGAGTAAGGGAGAGGGAGAGAGAGCTAGAAACATCTACGAGACAGAAACATCAACCGGCTACCTCCTGCATGTCCTCTACTAGGGACTGAGACTGCAACTCAAGCATGTGCTCTGACCAAGAATTGAACCAACAACATCCTGGTGCATGGGAGGATGCTCAACCAACCGAGCCTTCTTGTTTCCAAGGTTTACTTTTGTCTGGTCCATGTTAGATTAAACATTATCATTACACTTCACACACAAGGCATACCAAGTGAATTAAAGGTCACCTCAGCTACCTGGGAGTTTCTAAAGATAGTCATAAAATGTGGATGCACACAAACAAGGACGGATGTGTACAAAGTATGAGAGTTTACGTTTTTATTTTTTATTTATTTTATTTTATTTTTTTATCCTCACCCGAGGACATTTTTCCATTTTTTTTACAGATAGAGTGGGAGGGAGAGAGAGGAAGAGAGAGAGAGAAAGAAACATCGACGTGAAAGGGACACATCGAGTGGCTGCCACCCCCATGACCAACCAGGGCCAGGGACAAACTGCAACCAAAGTACGCGCCCTTAGTGGGAACCGAACCCGGGTCTCTGCCGACCGCAGGCCGACGCTCTAACCGCTGAGCCAAACCGGCCAGGGCGAGAGTTTACGTTTTTAAACTCTGCAATGCTGATCATCAATACTATGTCAAAGGCTCTCTGGATGGCAATAAAGCCTGTAATTATCTCTAAGGTGGGAGTTGATGCTCTTAGGCATTACATATCAAAGTGAGGACTGCTGGGCCGAAATACTTCATAGTTATTATCAAAAGGCTCCAGGAAGCTTTTAGTTGAATTTCTTCTTGTTGCATTTACTTCACCTTGCAACCTCTTGTCAGTAATATGAAGAAATTATGATGAACTAGTTCAGACCACTCTGCATCTGGAGCAAAGGCATCTTATGTAGCCATTAGAGAGCCTTTTCAGAAAATTAAAAGCCACAAAGATACCATAGTAACAGGATAACAAACCATAGCACAGGAAGTTCTTACCATCTGGAATATGCAGTATCAGCCAGTCCTGTTTTGCACAGAAATGAATAATATGGCAAAGACTGAGTGTTTTTCCTGTTCCCTTCTCCCCATCTAAAGTACTTGTTAAAGAAAACATTAACAGAAGGAACACTTCTATTTTGACAAAGAGTATGCCTGCATTTCTTCTTTTCTCCCAATTGAGGGAGGAAAGCACTGGCTCAAGACAGCCCACGCAGGCAGGAAAGGATACAGAGAACATATCGTACAGCTGGATGAGCAAAATTGGTATTTTTCAGGTGATGCAGAAGTTCCAGGGCTGGTTTCCTTACCATTAGGCAAGCTTCATTGAATGTCTTCATCTAATAAAACAGGGAAGGAAAAAGGAGAGAATGGGTGTGGAACTTCTAGCCAGTTCTTGGTATATACACTGAGCCTAACATAGCAACAAATTGCATATTTTTCATTTATGCAATTAGGAGAGGTTGGGTTGGTTTTGATTATGAGAATATATCCATATAATTTAGCTAAAAACTGAAACACATTATCTCACAACAAGTAACATAAGAGTCAGCTTTTGATTATACCTGTTAATGAAGCACAGATATTACATAAATTGAAATCCACAAATAATATAGACATCTCATAACATTACTATGTATACCACTTAGGGTTGATGTAAATATTAAAAATATGTAAAAAGTGCCTGGTGGTGTAGCTCAGTGGTTGAGTATCGACCAATACACCAAGAGGTTGCTGGTTCGATTCCTAGTCAGGGCACATGCCCAGGCTGTGGGCCTGGTCCCCAGGGGGGGCCATGCAGGAGGCAGCCAATTGATGTTCTCTCTCATCGATGTTTCTATCTCTCACTCCCTCTCTCTCTAAAGTCAATAAAGAAAGAAAAATTTATTAAAAAAAAAAAAAAAGTAGCCCTGGCTGGTTTTTCTCAGTGGTTAGAGCATTGGCCCACGGACCAGAGAGTCCTGGGTTTGGTTCCCACTAAGGGCACGTACCTTGGTTGCAGTTTGTCCCTGGCCCTGGTTGGGTCGTGCGGGTAGCAACCACTCGATGTGTCCCTTTCACATCTATGTTTCTCTGTCTCAGTCTCTCCCTCCCACTCTATCTGAACAAAAAATGGAAAAATGTCCTTGGGTGAGGATAAAAAAAAAATAATATATTCCTGAGCCATGAAGAAATGATATTTAGATTAGATACATCATTGTTCTTCAATCTCAGAGATTTTCAGAAAATTCTAGTAGATTGGGAGGGAGAGAGAAAGAGAGAAACATCGATGTGAAAGGGACACATCGAGTGGCTGCCACCTGCACGACCCAACCAGGGCCGGGGACAAACCTCAACCCAGGTACGCGCCCTTAGCGGGAACCTATCCCAGGTCTCTCTGGACCACAGGCCGACGCTCCAACCGTTGAGCCAAACCAGCCAGGGCAATTTTTTTTTTTTTTATAGCATATTAACTATTTACATGATCTTTCTCTAAGAAAAACATTAAATTCATTAAAAAAAATTCTCACTTGAGCATATTTTTTTCCATTGATTTTTAGAGAGAGTGGAAGCGAGAGAGGGAGGGGAAGAGAGAATAAGAGAGAGAGGGGTGAGAGAGACACATTGATTGGTTGCCTCCCTCACATGCCACAACCAGGAACTGGATGGAACCTGCAACCCAGGTACATGCCCTTGACTGGGAATTCAACACAAAATCCTTTGGTGCATGAGTCAATGCTCTAAGCACTGAGCAACACTGGCCAGGGCTAAATTCGTTTAAAAAATCTTTACTGTTGAGAGTATTACAGATGTACCTCTCATTTCCCTCCCCTCTCCCACCACCTGGTTCCTGCCCTACCCTCGGCTTTCACCATCCTATTGTCTGTGCCCATGGGCAAACTGCAACCAAGGTATGAGCCCTTTACAGGAACCAAACCCAGGTCTCTCTGGACTGCGGGCCGACGCTCTAACCGCTGAGCCAAACCAGCCAGGGCAGGAATTTATTTTTTTAAATACCAACACTATATTACTCCTTATCTAATATACTTGCAAATAGTATTTGTTAGTTTTCTTATCAGTGGACATGCTTTATTTGCAAATGACCTTCACACATATCAGTGCTTCCCAAATTTTTCCACCTCAGTATTCCTGATGGCAAAAAGTAAATGAACTTTACATGTCAGTTTTCTGGTTAGTCTGTATACTATCAGGTATGGCCTCATAGCTGGTTAGTAACACCTGCTCCTGAGCTGCTATATGTATAGTTCTAGAGAAAAGTCTAGACGGTTATAGTAATAAGAATTAGCTAAAAAATAAATTTAAAAGAATTAACATTTGTTCATTGCCTCCCATATGTCAGGTATTTTGTCAAGCATTTTACATACTTTTTAAAAAAAATTATTTTTATTAATTTATTTGTGTTACAGATATTTCTCCTTTTCCCCCATGGACACCCTCCTCCCATTCCCCCCTCACCCCATCCCCAGCTTTGTTGTCTATGTCCATTGGTTATGTATCTGTGCATATAAGTTCTATAGTTTATCTACCCCCCCGCCTTCTGAGGTTTGTCAGTCTGTACCCTACTTCTATGTCTCTGGGTCTATTTTGTTCATCAGTTTGTTTTGTTCATTATATTCCACAGATAAGTGAGATCATGTGATATTTGTTTTTCTCTGCTTGGCTTGTTTTGCTTAGGATAATACTCTCCAGATCCCTCCGTGTTGTCTCAAAGAACACTTTTTTATTTTTTTTATCCTCACCCGAGGACATTTTTCCATTTTTTGTTCAGATAGAGTGGGAGGGAGAGACTGAGACAGAGAAACATAGATGTGAAAGGGACACATCGAGTGGTTGCTACCCGCACGACCCAACCAGAGCCAGGGACAAACTGCAACCAAGGTACGTGCCCTTAGCGGGAACCAAACCCAGGACTCTTGTCCATGGGCCAATGCTCTAACCACTGAGAAACCGGCCAGGGCTATCTTTTTTTTTTTTTTAGATTCTAATTTCAGCCCAGCCTGCGTGGCTCAGTGAATTGAACGTTGTCCCATGGACCGAGAGCTCCAGGTTTTATTCCCAGGTTGCAGGCTCAATTCCCAGTGGGGGATGTGTAGGAGGCAGCCGATCAATGTTTCTCTCTCACATTGGTATTTCTATCTCTCTCTCCCTTCCTTTCTCTCTCTGAAAAAAAAAATTCAAGATTCAAATTTCATTTTTTATAGTTTTCTATACATTTAATCCCATTCCTTTGGTATAAAAGCTCGTGTTCTGGGTTCCCTCCAATTCCCTCCCCTGTTTTGAGCACCTGCATTACAAATCGAGGAGGCAGGCCATGGGGGAATATAGTCTTCATATCCTGGAGGGGTAGGTTGTAGTGCTGACCCTCATGATGCTCCTCATGCTTGGCCTACAAAATAAAAATGCATAAACAGGTATAATGGAGCCAAGTGACAAAGACTTTGAAAAAGTGGAAAGGGCCTGATAGATTAATCTCTCAGATCTGGAAAGCATATCTTTCATTTCTTATCTTAGATTAGAAAAAAAAATGCTAGTTGTTGTCCTCAAATCCACAGTGTGTATATAAAGCTGGCATTGGCCTGAATGATGAAGCCAGTTGCCCAGCAACATGAACCCGAGATGTGAAGGTAGCAGAGACAATTCTTGCCATCTGGATTCTTCTGTACTGCGTATAGAGATACTCCAGTCATGTGACAAGATCATCTGTGTGCTGCTATTTCCATGGAAACTAGAGGAATTGGCAGATAAAGGGCTATATTCACAGGGAAAGCTAAAAGACATTTTGATGACTTAATTCACTTATTATACTTCATTTTGTGCTTGTGAAAGTAGGTGAACACTGGAGACATAAATAAAACACACCCTGCTGAGATGGTGTTTTGAGTAATGAGTTATTTTTTTCCCCTCCCACTCACACAGCAGCATATGCTAAAATGGGGAACACCAGGGAGTAGGAATACAAACAAACAAACAAACAAACAAACAAAAAAACTATTGTTTTCCTTCACATTTAAGCACAGACCTTACAACTAACTTCATTTATGAGAGGCAGTGATAATGCTGGGGAAGGAGAAAAAAAAGTCAACATCTAGCCTAATGGGATCTGAAATAGAATACATAACACTGGATACCACTGGAATCCTAGCTTCTGCTGACAAATCTCACTTTAAATGAGACTCTTCTCAACAAATCAAGTTAGTTCCTTCTCTAGAGCTAGGAAATCCACTTAAAAAGGTAGATAGAAAACAGTCCCAGAGTGGTTATTAGGAAAATTGCGTTCTGTAACTGCTCTGCTGTGATCTTGAGGAAGTTGATTTCTTTCTTTTCTTTTCTTTTTTTTTTTTTTAATCCTCACCTGAGGATATTTTCCATCGATTCGGGGGGAGAGACATTGATGTGAGAGTAACACACTGACTAGTTGCCTGCTGCAAAACCCTGACCAGTGCTGGAGATTTAACCTGCAACCCAGGTACATGCCCTTGACAGAGAATCAATCCTGTGACCCTTCAGTCCACGGGCTGACACTCTAACCACTGAGCCAAACTGGCCAGGGCAAATTGATTTCTTTACAATTTCTGTACCATAGTCTGTAAACTATGGTTGACTACTGTTTTTATAAATAAAATTTTATTGGAACATAGCCACATCCATTTGTTTATGACAGAGGTAAGCAGTTGTGACAGAGACCACTTTGGTTCAAAAGCTTAAAATTTTACTATCTGGTCCTTTATGAAAAAATTTGTCAACCCATCATACAGTAAGATCAATAACTGCTAAATTTAACTTCTAAGGAATTGACTTAATTGAGTATTTACTATGAACCTGCTCTATGCCCAGCAAAATCCTTGGCATGAGATTAAGTCAATGGCAGGGATTAAATCAGAGCAAATGTGGACTGACCAGCCTGTGTGTTTTATGTTACCACAGAATCAGACTGGAATGGGGAAAATCAGGGTTCCAGAATGCTGTCTTGGGTGCATTATCTGACTCTGCATAAATTTGGATTTTAGTTTTCCTGATATGTAAAATAAAAGCAGTACAAATTATAAGGCCTGCAAAAACATCCACATACACGTTAGCAACTCACCGGGTCATTCTCACTGGTGTAGGAAATAGCTCTAGGACTCTCAAATGAAACCTGGTTATCAAGGTGAGCAGCAAGGCTTTGGGGTGCCTGGGTCCCCATGTGCAAATGTCCAGGGTCCAACTAGAAAATAAACCATGTTAGTGTTTTGGAATTATAAGACTTTTTATGCTAGTTACAACAATGAGGTTTTAAGCAATGTGTACAACAGAGAAAAATGGCACTAACATACATTTTAGTTTTATGTAAAATGAGGATCCCTGTTATTATTTACAATTCTCTAAGTCTTATCACATTATTTGTGCTCTGAATCTGTTCCAGCTTGTGTTCTCATGTCAGGGTTCTGTCCCAAAAGGAAATAAACAATTCCATTAAAGATTATTTAGAAACATAGTACAGCCCGAACAGTATGGCTCAGTGGTTGGGCGTCGACCAATGCATCAAGAGGTCAGTGGTTTGATTCCTGCTGAGGGAATATGCCCAGGTTGTGGGCCCAATCCCCAGTGGGCAGCATGCAGGAGGCGGCCAATGGATGTTCTCTCTCATTGATGTCTCTCTCTCTTAAAAACAAAACAAACAAACAAAAAACATAGTACAGCCATTAACTTAAAGCAGGAAACTTCTTTTAATGCTCTTGACCACAGTGATGAATGGTGGCCAGTACTGTACAATTCTAAGCTGTCCTGTAATCATAGTCACTTTAGTTTTAGGGAATTAGTGCAAGGTTCCTATTTGATAGATATACTCCCTGCAACGCTTTTCTGGATAGCTATGTCCTGGAATAAAGAATCTTTATTGATAAAAGAATGAGAGAGTATGTAATGCATCTAGCTAAGTAAAAATATAATGTTCAATTCAGTGAACTGCACATGGAAAGCTCTGATCTGGGAAAGGATGGAAGGTGGAGGGAGAGGATGATTCAGGAGACAAATCTGAAAAATGCTAACTGGAGAACTCCCAAACTGAACTTGAGGATAACAGGCTTATGTAGAAGTGAAACAATTCTAGTTACAAGGGAAAGATTAAGATATGAAATCAGCCCTGGCTGGTTTTGCTCAGTGGTTAGAGCATTGGCCTGCGGTCCAGACAGACCCGGGTTTGGTTCCTGCTAAAGGCACGTACCTTGGTTGCAGTTTGTTCCCCGCCCTGGTTGGGTCATGTGGGTGGCAGCTACTCGATGTGTCCCTTTCACGTCGATGTTTCTCTCTCTCTCTCTCTCTCTCTCTCTCTCTCCCTCCCTCCCTCCCTCCCTCCCTCCCACTCTATCTGAAGAAAATATCGAAAAATGTCCTCGGGTGAGGATTAAAAAAAAAAAAAAGAGGCCCTGGCCGGTTTGGCTCAGCGGTTAGAGCATCGGCCTGCGGTCCGGAGAGACCCGGGTTCGGTTCCCGCTAAGGGCGCGTACTTCGGTTGCAGTTTGTCCCCGGCCCTGGTTGGTCGTGCGGTGGCAGCCACTTGATGTGTCCCTTTCACATCGATGTTTCTCTCTCTCTGTCTCTTCCTCTCTCTCCCTCCCACTCTATCTGTACAAAAAAATGGAAAAATGTCCTCGGGTGAGGATTAAAAAAAAAAAAAAAAAAAAAAAAAAAGAGCCCTGGCCGGTTTGGCTCAGCAGTTGGAGCATTGGCCTGCGGTACAGAGAGACCCGGGTTTGGTTCCTGCTAAGGGCACGTACCTCGGTTGCAGTTTGTCCCCGGCCCTAGTTGGTCGTGTGGGTGGCAGCCACTCGATGTGTCCCTTCGCATCGATGTTTCTCTCTCTCTCTCTTCCTCCCGCTCTATCTGAACAAAAAATGGAAAAATGTCCTCGGGTGAGGATAAATAAAAAAAAAAAGATATGAAATCAGCAGAAGCAGTGAGAGACGGCTGTAATAAGGGAGTTGACTGATAAATCAATAAGTAACACGAAAGCTGCCTATGTTTATATTTAGTGTCACTAAACTGCTTCATAAGTACAATGACTCTTCATCTTTCATGATCCAAAAAATTTGTCCTCTCTAATAACAAGATTAACCTTTTTCTAATCAAAAAGCTTGAATGGTTTCCTACTGATTTCAAAGTAAGCTCCAGTGTCCTTAGCGTGGTAATCAAGGCCATGACTTCAACTGACCTCTCTAGTCTCATTCCTGTATGAACTCTATATTCCAGCCACATGACTATGCTAAAATAAGTTTTTCACTTTTAACACCTCTATACTTCTGCTTATTCTACTTCAACTTCTCTCTCTTTCCCAATTTTAATCTTACTCCTACTATAAGGCTCATTTGAAATGTCACATCCTCTGTGAAGATTTTCCAGACACCTCCAGTCAAAAGTAATTATTTCCCCCTCTCTGCTGATAGCACTTTCTTTGTCTTATATGGCATTATTTTTAAACATTAAAAAAAAAAATCCTATTGATTTTTAGAGAGAGGAAGGGAGAGGTAAAGAGAAAGAGAAAGATCAATGTGAGAGTAAAACATTGGCTGCTTGCTGCACGTCCCCCAATGGGGATCAAACCCGCGGCCAGGCATGTGCCCTGACTGGGAATCAAACCAACAACTTGGTGCATGGGACAATGCCCAACCAACTGAGCCACACTGGCCAGGGCTTGCATGGCATTTTTACTCTGCCTTGAACTGTATTCATGGCTTTTGTTAACTGAGTACCTATTAGATGGTAGGCAATACAGAGCTTAAACACATTATTTCCGAGCTAAGTATCCTAGAAGATAGGTAGAATATTATCATGCCTGTTTTATGATGAGGAAAACCAAGGTTCAGGGAAATTAAGTAATTTTGCCCAAGGTCACAGAGTAGGTAGGTGGTGAAGCCTGAATTCAAATCTAAGTTTGTCTGACTCCAAAATCCCTATTTCTTTTATTATATCACGTTATGTTATACATGAGTTTGTCTCCCATTGTAGGAGACACACTTGGGAAAGATGGATCAGATTTTATTCACCTTTGTATTTCCTTCTTTAAGTACCTAATACACCACAAATATTTCATACTTGTGCCTTCGGATAAAGACTCTTTCATTAGAGACATGTAACTGGGAGTATGTAAAGTATCTAGCTGAGTCAAAGTAAATTGTACTAATTCAACTCAATGAACTGTACACAGAAACCTCTGAACCAGAACTTGTAGATTTAATATAAATAGAGTTGCTCCAACTTTGATAATGACAGACACCAATGTTTATCAAATATCCAAATTCTCTATATTTCCCAGCCTCCCACGCAGACAGATTGGGGTTATTTGATTAGTTCTTGTTAATAAGCTCTAAATGAATATAATTTTTGTCTTTTCTAGTCAGAGATAATTTAGAGCAGATATAAATTCTCTCTTTTTTTCCCTCCAGCAACCTACACACTGAGGTGGCATCCCAAGATGAACCTTCATTCCTATGTCAAGCCCCTCCCACATTAGTCTGTAAAGGACTTTGGCAACACAGCAACAGCAAAACAAAACATATGCACACATCATAAACTATAATTTGTTGTGTCAAGCCAATGAGAATTCAGAGCCTGTTACTTCAGTACAGCAATCTGAATAGTATATCCTACTATTGGAAGGACTCAGTGTACTCAAATCTGCTGGAGAGAAAGTACCAAGTGTCTAAAAATAGTAGTAAAGTGGAAAATTAAAGATACTCAAAGGCCACAAGATGGTGCTCTTTCTACAAGAATCCTATGACTTTAGTTTGCTTTTTGAAGCAAATTAAGAACTAGCAAAATGGATTCCTTCCTTATTACAGCACTATATATGGCATCACCTAGCTAATCTCGTTTCCACGGAAAACAGCCATAAGTGCAATAGCCACAGTTCCAGAATGAACATGATGTGGTTAAGAATAGCATTCATGAGCCAACCAAGACAGTTACTCTAAACCAATCTACATAAAGTACAAAGTTTTTTATTTTATTTTATAATGGGTTATTTTACGAACATGGATTTACCATAAAACCCTGGAAAAAAATACAAATTCTATAGGAGGAAGGTCTACTTTTCTAGGAAATCTAATCTGTAATTAAACAATGAGATGGAAGTGACTAAGCTCTTTTGGCTCAGTTCTCATCTTTCAGGATACAGCTCTGGGAGGATTTCCTCTGGACCCTACTAATCCAGGTTAGGTGCTCCTACTGGGTGCACCATATTAGAATAACCACCTATTCATGATTTTACTACTGACTTTGAGGTTCTAAAGAACATGGACCATAAAATGCAATCTAGCACAGCGGTTAAGGCCACAAGGCTTTGAAGTCAGATAGACCTGTTACCTAGTCTAGGCCCTGCAACTTTACGGCCTATTTATTTAGGCAAATTATTTAGCCTTTCTAATCTTCAATTTCGGTATCTGTGAAAAATATTATCTACTTCATGGTTAGGTTAGGATTAAAAAAGGAAAGCAGCCTGGCTGGTGTGACTCAGTGGACTGAGCATCGTCACATGCACTGAGAGGTGGACGGTTCGATACTCGGTCAGGGCATATGCCCAGGGTTTCAGGCTCGATCCCCAGTGGGGGATGTTCGGGAGGCAGCTGATCGATGTTTTTTCCCCATCGATGTTTCTATCTCTCGCTCTCCTTCCTCTCTAAAATCAGTAGAAAAAAAAAAAAAAAAAGGCGAAGCACTTAGCCTAGTGCCTGGCACAAAATGAATGCCCAACAAATAGTAACTAATAGTGAAATGAGTCATCTTAAAATCCTGAGTACTTGCCATATGGAAAGTACTGATAACTATTTACTTTAAATAAATAAAAGAATGAAGTAAAGCAACATAATGTTTTTTTTTTCATGTGTGATTTTATTCAACTATCAAATACTTAAGGTCTAAATTGGCAACATATTTTTCCTTTCTTTTAAAATCTTCACCCGAGGATATTTTTCTATTTATCTTCAGATAGAGTGGGAAGGGGAGAGAGGGAGAAAAAGGGAGAGAGAAACATCGATGTGAGAGGGACACATAGACTGGTCTCCTCCTGCACGAGCTCAACCAGGGCCGGGGATGAACCCCAACCGAGGTACGTGCCCTTGGCCAGAATTGAACCCGCAACTCAGTGGTCTGTGGGCCGATGCTCTACCGCCTGAGCCAAACTGGCCAGTGTGGCAACATATTTTTCATTTAAGTACTTCATTAAGAAATGATAATTAATCCAACTAGAGAATGTTAATAAAAGTTGATGAAGATAATTGCAATCAAGCTTTTATTTATTTATTTATTTATTTATTTTTTTTAATCCTCACCCAAGGATATTTTTCCATTTTTTGTACAGATAGAGTGGGAGGAAGAGAGAGAGTGAGAAACATCGACGTGAAGGGACACATCGAGTGGCTGCCACCCGCACGACCAACCAAGGCCGGGGACAAACTGTACCCGAAGTACGTGCCCTTAGCAGGAACCGAACCCGGGTCTCTCCGGACCGCAGGCCGACGCTCTAACCGCTGAGCCAAACTGGCCAGGGCTGCAATCAAGCTTTTAAAAAAATGTTAATTCTCCTATGACATGGTAAAATCTCAAGCAGAACTATTCTGAGACCTGTTACCTGAAAATTTTTAGGGCAGCTGGGAAGGAAGTGAATGGACAGATAAATGAAACTGTAACTGGTTTTTTGAATGTGAACTTTTAAATTAAAGTCAGCTGAAGTTCTCCAGAGCATTTACTTCTAAATATAATAAAATCCATCTAAAAACAAGAAATCTACCTAAAGACAGGTTGTACAAAGCATTTAGGTCAGTTAGGACTCACCGTATGGACCCTGGAGATAAGTCTTGTTATTCCTTTCAGCATTGTCCTGCACTCTTAAAAAAGTGAAAAGGTCAGCCAGAATTGGGAAAAGGTATTTGCACAATGGATCCACAATATATAAGGAATGCCTACAATTTGACAAAAAATTGAGAAGACACAGACATTTCATAGAAAAGTTTATACAAATGGCTAGTAAGCCCATGAAAATTCTCATTACAAATCAGGGAATATAAATTAAAACCACCACAATGAGATCATTCACAATCACCATATTGGGGAAAATGAAAAGGTCAGACAATAGCAAATGTTAAAGAGGCTGTGAAGCACTGGGAACTTTCATACACTGTCAGTGAGAGTGCAAACACAAATATCTAAGAAAATGAATTTGGCATTATCTTGTAAAATTGAAAATGTATAGGTCTAAGACCCAGGTATTCTACTCCTTGGTATTTATTCTACAAAAACACTTATACATGTACACTGGAAAATATGTACAACAATGTTCATAGAAGTAGAGTATGAAGACTTATCAAAAACTGTAAAAAGCCCAAATGTCCATTGGTAGAAGAATGGATAAACTGTCGGGGGCATGCAGGAGGTGGCTGATCGATGTTCTCTCCCATCGATGTTTCCATCTCTCTCCCTCTCCCTTCCTCTCTCTAAAATCAATAAAGAAAACAAACAACAAAAAGCCCCTAATCTCTTGGGAGCTAAAAGATGTTCAAAATACTTAAACACAACTCTCAATATTCAGTAGTGACAACATAAGCAAATAAAATCTCCAAGTAATTACTTACTTAATTTTAGCTAATAAATTTCACCTTACAACCAGAATCTTTATTATTTTTTTCATTCCTCACCTGAGGACATTTTTCTACTTATTATCAGATAGAGTGGGAGGGAGGGAGGGAGGGAGAGGAACAGAGAAACATTGATGTGATAGAGTCATATCAACTGGTTGCATCCCGCACAACCCAACCAGGGCTAGGGATGAACCACAACCGAGGTACATGCCCTTGACTGGAATCGAACCTGTGACTCATTGGTCCGCGGGCCAATGCTCTAACCACTGAGCAAACCAGCCAGGGCTAGAATCTTTATGTTTTAAAAAAAGTTTTAATTGATTTTTTTTTATCCTCACCCGAGGATATTTTTCCATTTTTTGTACAGATAGAGTGGGAGGGAGAGAGAGGACGGGAGAGAGAGAGAGAAACATCGACGTGAAGGGACACATTGAGTGGCTGCCACCCGCACGACCAACCAGGGCCGGGGACAAACTGCAACCGAAGTACATGCCCTTAGTGGGAACCGAACCCAGGTCTCTCTGGACCGCAGGCCGACGCTCTAACCGCTGAGCCAAACTGGCCAGGGCTTTAATTGATTTATTAGAGAGAGTGGAAGAGAGAGAAACATCGATGTGAGAGCAGAACACCAATTGGCTATCTCTTGTATGCCCCTCACCAGGGATCGATCCCACAACCTGGACATGTGCCCTGACAGGGAATTAAACCAGCACCCCTTTGGTGCACTGGATGACACACAGCCAACTGAGCCACACACTGGCCAGGGCTCAAGTTTACTTTTTAATAAAGTTGCTAATGCATTCTTTAATTAAGTCATTCAAGAAATGTGTGATGTGCTTCCATATGCCCATACTGCATAGGGTTTACACTGGTGAATCAGACTGGTGTGGTCTCTACTGCACTGCCTCTGCATTACCTGTGGGATTCCAGGGTTCCTTTGCTGTTTGAAAACCAGCTGTCTAAAGCAGCAGTTCCCCAAATGATTTTGGTGAATACTAATTTATCATAAAATGCACCAAGGCTCTGGCCAAAAAAATCTAAGATATGCTGTATAACTATTCATTTCATGAATAATTATAATACATCTTAGTATATTTAAAGGCTTTGGGAAAACTACAGAAGAGAAACTTCATTTTAACACAAATTTACTTGGGCTTGCAACTCTTGAACTCCTTTATTGAAAAGCACTATTAAATATCATTCTCCTGGATGCTGGTAGAGGAGCTGCTGCTGTGGACTAAGGTGGCTGTGAGCATATCCCTAGGCCTGAAGGTGAAGCTCTACTATGCCACAGGCAGAGGTCAGGTCTTCTCTATTCCCTGCTTTTATCTGTTCTTAGCTCTGCCTTACACTGCCTTCTTGCCCTCCCAACACCACTCAAAGGCCATCACCACCACCTGCTATCTAATACAACTGTGCAGAAAAGAGTTAAAAGAGCAAGTCTGAGATTGCTTCAAAAGGCCTGCTTCCAAGGCTGCCCCTTAGGTGATATCTGGAAACTTGGGATTTCAGGAGAGTTCCCATCATTCCCAGTACTGGTAAGAGTGGATCACTGTGCCTAATTTATTTATACAAACATGGTTTATGTTGAACACCTTTCCTTCTAGGAATCTGAAATTCTATTACATGCTAGGCAGATAATGACTATATGACCAACCCCAATAAAAACCCTAGGCATTGAGACCCAAATGGATTTCCCTGGTTGAAAATATTTTACAAGTTTGTCACAACTTGTTACTGAACAAATTAAGTGTGCCCTGTGTGATTCGACTGGGAAAAGGCTCCTGGAAGGTTGCACCTGGTTTACTCCAGATTTTGCCCTTTGCTGATTTTGCTCTGTATCTTTCACTGTAATAAACCATAGCCATGAGTAAGTGTTGACTTCTGAGTTATAGGAAATCATAGAACCCGGGAGTGGTCTTGGCAACCAGACACAATCAGCCAGTGTCCAACACAACTGATCATCTATTGTTACCTGGCAGCCAATGCTTAGTTCTCACCAGCTCAATTTTCTTAACCCACATTTTTCTCAATCTTCCCTACTTGAACTAACTCAACTCCTGCCTCCAATACTATCTTCCCCCATCTGTGAACAGCTAACGCCATGCCAATTCTAACTCTCCATTATCAGCTGATTTCATATCCTAACCTCTCCACTCAACCTCAATTTTCCCTATTCCCAAGTTACTCATGACTCCAGCGTCACTCCAACAGTACCTGGCCCACCCAACCCTGCTTCCTTGATCTTCCCAATACACTGTGGTACAACCACTAACATGGGACTATTATGGGCTGCAGCTCTGGAGGGGGGCTGGGTCCAGCAAAGAGTTGGTGATATGGTCATAAGGTCACTTCTTCTTCCTCTAGGCATAACTGTGGTCACTGGGGCCATTACTCTGGCCATGTTTGACATTATGGGAAATGCTGGTCAGGAAAATTTGAGTTCTCCAGTCTAGGGCACTATCATCTTGTATCCATATTATAACAATTTCTCCCATCTATTTTCTTCATTAAAGTCTTGCTTAAAATCCTACAATATTTCCCCACTGCTTCTATTTTTATTACAAAAAATGTTTTAACCTGGCTGGTGTGGCTCAGTGGTTGAGCATTGACCCATGCACCAAGAGGTTGCCAGTTTGATTCCTAGTCAGGGCACATGCCCCAGTGGGGGGCATGCAGAAGGCAGCCAATCGATGTTTCTCTCTCTCTCTCTCCCTCTCCCTTCCTCTGTCTCTCTAAAATCAGTAAAGAAAAAAATTTATTTTTAGAAAACAAAATTTTTTAAAATTTGATTTTAAAGAGGGGAGGGGGAAGGGAGAGAGAGAGAAAGGGAGAGAGAAACATCGATATGTTGTTCCACTTATTTATGTATTCACTGGTTGCTTCTTGTATGTACCCTGACCAGGGACTGAACATGCAACCATGCCTAATCAGGATGACGCTCTAACCAACTGAACAACATGGCCAGTGCTTTACCCACGTTGTTGAAAGTATTACAGATGTCCCCCCTTTCCTCCCCATTGACCCTCTCCATCCCATGACTATTCTGTAACAATCAACTTGTACTTCTTAACCCCTTCACCTTTTTAGCCTATCACCTCAACCCCCCTCCCATCTGGCAACCAATAAAAAGTTCTTTATATCTATGAGTCTGTTTCTGTTCTGCTTATTCATTTTGTTTGTAGATTCAATTGTTGATAGATATGCATTTATTGCCATTTATTGTTCATATTTTTTATCTTTTTCAAGAAAACCCTTTAACATTTTATATAATGCTGGTTTGGTAGTGATGAACTCCTTTAGCTTTCTCTTGTCTAGGCAGCTTTTTTTTTTTTATGTCCACTGACTCTGATAGCTTTGCAGTATAACTTTGCTGTAGGTCCTTGCTTTTCATCACTTTTGAATATTTCTTGCCACTCCCTTCTGGCTTGCAATTTCTGTTGAGAAATCAGCCGACAGTCTTATGGGAGCTCCTTTGTAGGCAACTAACTGCTTTTCTCTTGCTGCTTTTAAGGTTCTGTATGTCTTTAACCTTTTGCATTTTAATTAAGACTTGGTGTGAGCCTCTTTGTGTTCATCTTGTTTGGGACTCTGTGTTTACTGAACTTGTATGTCCATTTCCTTCAACAAATTAGGGAAGTTTTCTGTCATTTTTTGAAGTAGGTTTTCAATTTCTGGCTCTCTTTTTCCTTTTGGCAATCCCATGATGCGAATATTGGTATGCTTGAAGATGTCCCAGAGGCTCCTTACACTGTCCTAATTTTTTTGGATTCTTTTTTCTTTTTGCTGTTCTGATTGGGTGTTTTTTCTTCCTTATATTCCAAATTGATGGTGTGATTCTTGGCTTCACCTACTCTATTGATACCCTGTAAATTATCCTTTATTTCAGTTAATGCATTCTTTTTTTGGTGACTGGTTCTTTTTTATGCCCTAGAGGTCCTAAGTTACTTGAGCACCCCCCCCCTTTATTTATTTATTTATTTTATTTTACTTTTGTTACAGATGTTTCTCCTTTTTTACCCCATTGACACCCTCCTCCCCATCCCCCCACCCCGTCCCCAGCTTTGTTGTCCATGTCCACTGGTTATGTGTACATGAATATAAGTTCTGTGGTTTCTCTCTTCCCTCTCCCCACCACCCCCTCTTCTTAGGGTTGTCAGTCTGTACCCTACTTCCACATCTCTGGGTCTACCCTATTCCTCAGACTGTTATGATTGTTATATTCCACAAATAAGTAAGATCATGTAGTA